AGCTACGTCACTGATTGGACTGTCAAGCATTCTTAACCAGTATTTAACACTGTTGATTAATACCTTTACATTTTTCTCAGGTTTCCTTGTCACAGTGATTTCGGTTCCCCCGTGAAATCGGTTCCCCCTCGAATAAAATTCCTCTATTATAACCGGAACTTAATGCCTATCGCAGTACCGGCAGAATTTCCCTTGTTTTGATCATTGAACTATATTTTATATACTATATAGTTCAATGGTTTTGATAAAATTAAGCGCGGGGCTTTTGTCCAAGTTTGCGATCATTAATGAAAATCTAAGTATCCAACTAAACATTGATATAGATTTTAGACTTTACATAAGTATTTCGTATCATTTCTAACAAAACTGATTGAAACTAGTATATATTATAAATACAGTATTAACATGGGTCTTGATGTCGATTTCGTGTCTGTAAAATGAGGTGTATTTCGAGGTATAAAGACAAAAAATTACCATAAGGAACAAAATTGACTAATTCAATTTCCTAATTTTTGAAAATTTTCAGCAAACAAATTCAAAATAATGATTTTATATATCAAATATTCAGATACATATGGCCGATCACTCTCCCGACGGTCGCCATGTTGGACATCAAGGGAAATTCTGCCGCCTGCCTGTACTATGATAGGCATTAAGTTCCGGTTATAATGGAGGAATTTTGTCCGAGGGGGAACCGATTTCACGGGGGGAACCGAAATCACTGTGACAGCCTCCACAATGCAGGAAATGCGGTTTGAGTGTCCCAAAATACATTTTTGTCCCGGGGGCATGCCCGCGGACGCCCACGAATTGCATGTGACTCACAATTAAGTTGCCCCCTCCCCTACTCAAAATAAAATCCTGGCGGCACCACTGCCTGGCTGATGGCCAGTCGAAGAGTTGTCGCCTGTCTCTTTGTTGAAAAATCTTTAATTACATAAACTTTCCTTATAAAAGCATAGCTGGCAGGTACGGTCAGCAAACTGCTCTTTGTCTTTGATTTAAGTTTGTTAGTGTTGGTCGACGTCAGGGGTGGGATATACCTTACACTTCCCTGATTTTTAGCAAAATGTATTACTGCTCTGCTGTCTGGTCTAATACATCCCAAAGAAATATCGAGAAGCTTCAAGCGGTCCAGAACTTTGCTGCACGTATTGTTACAGGAACAAGCCACAATCACGTGACTCCTGTTCTGCAACAACTGGGCTCCATTCCAGTTAAATACATGTTAAAATTAAGAGAAGCCATTTTTGCTTTCAAATGCTTGAAGGGGTTGGCACCATCGTATTTGTGTGAGAAGTTCCATGTCAGGTCAGATGTTCATGGCGTTAATACAAGGCAAAAGAACATTTTGGATATACCAATGTACAGATCAGCTGCGGGTCAACGAACATTTCACTATAGGGCTGTGTTCTTGTGGAATTCTCTGTCTCAGTCTCTTAAAAACATTGATACTTTGACTCATTTTAAAGTAGAATACAAACGTATGTTATTAGAAGAATTTTTAACTGAAAGTGGTGTTTAACAGATTTATAGAATATTTTAGAACTATAGCCTATGTTATACCTTAGGTCAAAACTCAAAATTCATTTTTAGATACTTTTATAAATATAGAATTTCATATTTGTAATTAGATCCTGAAAATCCCAATTGGGAGTATCTAATATTGTATAATAATAATAATAATAATAACACAAACAAACTATGCGCTTATACAAGAGGATTTGAGGATGGTTTCCTACTAGCAGCAAGATGCACGCCTTCAATAAAATCACTTTAAATAACCAATGCAATTTTTTATTGTGTTTTACTTAGTAAGGCGTCTGTTAGTATTGCAATGTTTTCCAAATGCATTATTGTTGTCGTTAAGTCCACACGGCCACTTCAAAAAGCAGTTAGGAACAGGGTTTATTTTAAGAAAAGAACTGCACATATTAGGGATGTTACGAAGCATCACGTGTTTGACTGGGGGTCAAAGGATTTTTATCTATATTTAATGTTGTAAATTTAGAGTTAACGACTAACGTTGTAAATTATGATAGACTCTTAATTTGTATATAGGTGGCAGAATAAAGGTGTGGTTGAGTGGGGCCAGAAAAACTCGATTGTGGGTGGGAGCTACAGGTAGGGGGTATCTCCCCAAATTTTGAATTTAGGGATTCGTAAGTTTCAAAACATGTAACTAGGAATCATGAATACTCAATATATAATAACCTTAGGCAGCAAAGAATATTAAGTTCTCCCACTCTAATCTCTTTTGGATAGTTTCGCTCGGCCCAATTTCATTTCAATTCATTTCATTTCATTTCATTTCACTTCATTTCACTTCATTTTATTTTATTTTATTTTATTTTATTTTATTTTATTTTATTTTATTTTATTTTATTTTATTTTATTTTATTTTATTTTATTTTATTTTATTTTATTTCATTTCATTTCATTTCATTTCATTTCATTTCATTTCATTTCATTTCATTTCATTTCATTTCATTTCATTTCATTTCATTTCATTTCATTTCATTTCATTTCATTTTATTTTATTTTATTTTATTTTATTTTATTTTATTTTATTTTATTTTATTTTATTTTATTTTATTTTATTTTATTTTATTTTATTTTATTTTATTTTATTTTATTTTATTTTATTTTATTTACTCTGTTTAAGACCAAATGATTTTACTCGTCAAGCGGAGAGTTCTGGCGACTCAATGGGTTAAAGGTCTTTCATCCCCACCTTGATTTTCATATAGCCCTATATATTTTTACTAGGCATCACTCCAGATCTTAGACAAAGAAGCAAGTCAGTTATGGTGGGCTGGAAAAGAACTATTAAGGGCATGAATACTTGGAGATTATATTGGAAAGAATGAGAAAGGTAATTAAAAATTGTTTCTATAAACTGGTGAGCCCCTATCCTGTACATACAAACGTCTAGCAAGCTCAACTCTTCAGGCTAAGGTACAGTCAGAGAGCTCTATATAAATATCTTGAGCAAAAACACTCACTGGGTACAGCATGATGACAATATGTTTCAGCGATAAATGTCTAAATAAGAAATTCATAGAGAATAAATTCTTGCAACTAGCTAAGCACAGTGATTGTATCTTATGTAAACTCTTGTTGAATATTTGTTGCAGAAAGGTCAAGGTGTGCCAAGCAGAGAACCAGAGCTTGCTGAAGAAGACAAAAAAATCAAAAGATGTCCTATGCTTATAAGAAACAAGCCGAAGAGATGAAGGTCTGTACATTTCAAACATTTGTCTTGCATGATGCATTTTTAAAAAGAGCACGCTGATCTCGTGTATGGTAATTAAAAATTGCCATTGCCTCATTGGAAATGGTGTATTGGTTGGTTGCATCAACTGATCAACTTACATGTTCATGTTCTTGTTAGTACCACGTTAAGGGTTTGTATTTCTCGTTTATTTTATGCTTGCTTTAATTAACTAAATTTTTAAACAGCTAAACTTTAGCGTGCAAGGCTTTTCCATTTCATTTAATAAATACGTACATAGTTACGGCCATGATGAAGGTGCCATCAATGCAAAATGCGACTGTTTCCAAATTTTATCATTCTTAAAATATTCAATGCAGACACTCTAAGCAAATAATGATGTATCGTATATAAGTTCATCTGATGCACATTCTCTAAAGCGACAGTTTCAAGGATTTCGAAACGTCACATGGAGGCCATGAGTGTATTGGACCGGAGCGCAGAATATTTAAGATTAGATGTACCACTGTATATATCTAAAAACGGTTTTCTATTGGTCAGCAATGGAAACTTCTACGCTCTTTGCAATACATTTGTGTTTGCAAATACAATGCATTTGTGTTTGCTCAAATTCTATCACGTAGTGCAAACACTGCAAAGTGGACCTGTTATCGTAGCATAATATATGGAGCTATAAAGAGCCTGACTTGCGAGATATTGACTTGCCTGACTTACTAGACGCACTTTTATTTATATTGGCGAACACTAGCTATACTCTAGATCTACGAACTTGACTTACATTGACCGAATGATATTAGCTAGTTAGACTGTTAGTAGTAAGAATTAATTCACGCCACAAAGTTACAGTAAGTTCCACACGCTCCTTAGATGTCAGAGGTAGCTATATCATAGACAGCAACAGGGTAGGAGTGCGATGAAGAATGAGTAAAGCATCACGGATACGGTAATGTATGGGGGGAACTTCAATTTACTCTAAAGGCGAAATTGTTCAGACAATGTAAAAGAATAAGAGAGAATTTGAGAATAAGACAATTGATTCAGGTAAATAGTGTCGAAGTCAGTCCATTTCCAAAGTTCTTTTCTTTGCGTGCGTGTTAGTCAACAAATAACAATGCGACCAACCCTTTATGCAAATTAAGGGACTGCTCATTATTTATTGTACAGGGGGGATTGAGGAGAAACTGGGGGGGGGGGGCTTTAAATTTTTTAAAACCTGAAAGGGGGGCTTTAAAAAATACAGAGAGACGAAAGAAGGGGGGCTTCGAAAATATTTACCAGTTTGAAAAAACAGTAGTTTTAAAATGTATTACAAAACAACTTAACAAATAACAATGTTTATAGACCTTCAATATTCATAAATGGAAGCCAAATAAAAAGTCTTTTATGTTCATGTAAATAGACAATCCCCATTATAGACTAATTTTAGAACTAGGCAAAGAGATGCAAATCAAGGCCGGATTTTGGTGAAAATAGTGGGGGAGGTGGAAACAAATTTTAGGGGAGGTGCAGCGATCTAGCTCACAACTCTCATGGAAAGTTAGGGCTTATTGTAGAACAGGCCAATATCAACGAGGTGAGGTATGCATGTAGTGTACATATGTACCAGTGTATTAATTAATTATGAATGTATATGACTCCAATCTTGCCCTTCATTACAATTGCTACAAAATTTCTTTCAAAACATTGCATTAAAAGGGTACTTGACACAGAGATGAATGGCTATCACTGTTTCAATTTTACAGAGAAAACTTTCTTACGTCACGAAGTGTAGATCCTAAGCAACCATCACATTTTCACTTTGTTCCATCATTGAAACTTTCCCAAGGGCAAGTGCATGACCTTTCAAGAGAGGTGGAAAAATTCTCAGGGGAGGTGCAAAACGATCTCTGGGGAGGTGCGCACCTCTCCACACCTCCCCTCAAAATCCGGCCTTGATGCAAATAAATCACCACAGCTAGAAAGAGCATACTAAAATAAGTAAATTATTGCAAAGTTTGGTTGCAAATTGTTGCAAAATACGGATAATATAGCCTTGCAAAGTTTGCAAATTTTGTACACTTTTGTATTGCATGCGAAAATTGCAATTATACAAAAGAATACAAAATTTGCAAACTTTGGAAGGCTATATTTTCTACATATTTTACAACATTTTGCAACCAAACTTTGGAATTTTACTAATTTTAGTATGCCCTTCCCGGGAATATACTTTTTTTGCTAAGATAAAAAATTAGTCTATAATGGGAATGTCTATTGGTCCCCATTACCTATTTTTCTTTCTCTAAAATAAACAGCTAGAGTTTTTGTTTCTCTAAATAAAGATAAAGAGCTAGAGGGGGGGGGGCAAAACTTATGTTCTTGTTTTGCTTGTTGGGGGGGGGGCTTTGAAAATTTTACTTGTCTTAAGAGGGGGGCAACGAAAAAATATTATAACTGTAGAGTTTCTCCTCAGTCTCCCCTGTACAATAAATAATGAGCAGTCCCTAACTAACATTTAATTAACCAATCAAGATCCAGAAAAAACACTGACAGATCATGCAGTCTGATTGCATGCACTATTTAGAAATCTTAATTGAACAATCACCGTAACTGACCTGCAAAGGACCAAAGGCACATGCTTTGTAATATAACCCAACACACAAATATAGTACGTACTAAATAACATTACGTACTAAGTATAAGATATAATATTGAAATTAAAGTTACGATCATCAATTTTTTCTGCAGTTCTACTCTTGTGCTGCTCTATAATAAAGAAAAACGTTTTCCTGGCATTCCAGAACACGCCCCAAATATTTCATGCCTACAATGCAGACTGCATGGTGCCTCAGGTAATCCGAATAGCTTGGTTAACTTTTTTAATTAAGGGAGTTTCATTCACGCGGGCTCATCAAAAGGTAAAATTTTTTAAACATTTCAAACAGAGACGTTCTCTATTGATGGACCCAAATAGGTATTAGATAAGTGTCTCAGGTTGTCCTACCGAATATAATCAGTATATTATCTGTCAAGAGATGCATTAAACATTTAATTTATATTATATACTTGATGTTTTTGTTTCGTACTGTTAATATTAATTGAACGTTGGAACTTTGGATATTTTACTTCTGCAGCGCTAACATCAATTTACTGGAAGCAGAAAACATATTGACTAAATTAATATTTTAATAAACTTAAAATTAAAAAAACAAATTTTAATAAATAAAAATAAATAAAATAATAAATATTTTAATAAACTTAAAAGTTTCAGAA